TCTTCTTATCTAATAATCGCATCACATCACTAGCAAACTCGTAAAGGGGATATTAAGTGCTCGTTTTTCTCAATAAATAGTAACGTAATGCCTTTTATTTAGTGCGACTGGGGGAAACAATTGTGCGTCGTGGCCAGATGACCATATCTTTAACTGCGCTCACCATTTAATGTCAGCGCTCAAGATAGATAAAACGCTTCGAATTGCTTAATGAAGCTAAATGTCGTCTCCCGTCGCTCGCATCGCTAGACAACACACAATTTTGATAGTATGGATGAGCAATTTTTAAGCATCCATCGTACAAGACACAATTTTCCTTATCTGACAATCATTTGTTTCGCTTTCTGCGCAATTTTTTCAACGATATAAAGCTGAATTCATAAGTGGCGAGCGAAAGTGCCTTGGACTTTTTAGTGTTTGCGTTCTGAACCACAAACAAACGCACAAAATTCAAGGCTCAACATGCATCTGCTATAATTGTCCTTAAAAACTAAAATCGATTAGACGATACCTCTCGTTGACGCATGAAAGTTATATTCATGTTGTCAAAACGTTTGCAACGCCCAGAAGGCAACATCAAAGTGTATATTACATATTCTTGATCATCATCAAATTCTAGATCGATTTAAGCATGTCCGTCTGTCTGTCCGCACAATATCTATTGTAAACATTCTCCTGGGCGCAGAAATAAAGCTATTGACTTCAAATTTGGCAGAAACATTGGAAGAAAATGGCCAAAATCGATTGAAGAACATGCCGACTGCATCACGAAAACTGAGTACACCTCTGTTTTTCAAAGGCAATGAGAAATTAGTTTCTTGCTCATTGATCACAAGCTATAATAAATAAATGTACGAAAATTTGAATATATATTCTATGGACGATGGTGTGTAAAAAAATGTAAAAAATTGACCACGCCTATCCAATAATATCTGTGCATCAAAAATCATTAATACTTGTATAAGTCGCAGAAAGCAGCTTCAAAAACCCCATAAAGTGTACAAATTCTTGGCCAGTTTCAAATCTTGAATGCACATAAATATGTCCGCCTGTTCGTCTCTCCATCTCTCTGTTTGCGTTACATTGTAGTATTCGTGGTAAATATTCTCACCTTAGCGAAAGTGAAGATATCGCCTACAAACTTGGAAAAGAACTTGCAATTCATCTAAACTATTCAAAGAACCCGCCTACAACGCCCACATGCCTATACGACAAAAACTTTTATTGTGAGAATAGAAGACATCAATTGAGTTAAATGCATGAAAGGCTCAATATTTGATTACCACATGAGATAATGGTGAAAACTTTAATCGATATCTTTTCTTTTTTGCGACCAGGAGAGTGCTGACAACACACACACAGACGGATACACATCAACGGACAGACGGGTCAGACAATCAAATCAGAATTTCACTCTGATCAAGAATATATATACTTTGTAGGGTCTCTGAAACTACCGTTTGAGTGTTACGTACCTTATGGAAAAAACAAAACGAGTATGGCGGGGGGCCCCCCCTCTTAGAGTGATGGGTACAATAATAGAAGTAAACAGTGTGTGTTCGATCGATGCTGTTTTAAATTTTCTTTCTTTTTTACTTTTTTTGTTTTTTGTCGTATGGCCTAACGATTTTGGAAACTCTTTGAACGTATTTTCATAATATTTTTTTTTTTTCCTTTTTGTTTTTTATAAAAGTCTCAGTTTAAGAGAGATTTCATAAACAAAATTGTTTTTCTCTTTCCAGGTATGAAAATTGTATTAAATCCGTCTCATGAATTTATATTAATTGATATGTACGAATTAATGAACAGGTAAATTTTTGATGTTTATTAATAACTGTTAAAACGCAAAAAGGTGAACATTGGATAACAAAATTTGTAAAATCGCAACAGTTGAAGATATTTTAAATGGTATTAAGTTCGGATGTATGCAAAATTCTCACAACAACCTTAATTAAAAGTCGATGACATAAAAAAAAAAAAATTTTTTTTGTTTTTATGTAAATGCAAATATGTGCTTCGACGGCGAAAAGCAACAGTTTTACAACAAAAAAAAACAAAAAAATGTTTTTCCCGTATCTAGCGTAATTGGATTATTGTTCGGTTAAGCAAAAAATTAAAAAATGCGCACCGTAGCGAAGGAAGAAGAACATATAGGAAAGTTATATCTGCCTTTGGCCGAATCTTTGATACCCATTATCCCCGAGCTATATAAAAATTATAAAACATTACAGTAGTCATTCGAAACGAATATTACGCTTATCTTAGATATAGCTTTGCAATCGAAAGTGTTTGTACCATGCCGTCGATCAATATCATAAACGTTATAAATTCTATCTGTAATATTATGCATTATACTCGTATGTAGTAGTTTTTACTTATTATGGGCGTTGTTGCTAAGAATATATGTACGACATTTCAGGTTTGCAACAAAGATACAATCAGGCTTAGTAACTAACGATAAGAACACTGTTAGAATTAAGTTAATACATGATTTTGTACATTGTGAATGCAATTTATGCTTCGGGCCTTTGGTAATGTGCATATAAAAATCTGTGAATATAAATGTCTTCGGCAAAAGTTTTGGACTAATCCTTATGATGCCACAGCTAACAAACGAATGTGCGTAAAGTAATTACCCTTTATATAAGCGTATTTCCCTTCGTCACAAACATTTGAGAAATTTCCTACATCTTTATATATATAATCGACCTCAGAGTAACTTTTCAATTCAAAACGGTCAATCTTCGTATATATATATAAATATATATAATAGTAATAAAGAACTGATAAGTGTAATGCTAGTGCAACAATGATATATGAGAATTACAGTTAAGTTCCTCTAAAATAATGCACTTTTTGTTGGTTAGTCTTTAGTTAACGTCAGCAACGTTCAGACGCTTGTATTATAAAAGCATATAATTGGAAGTAATTCCCATTGAAGAAATTAAACAAAAAAATGTTAAGTGTGGTTTAAGGTACTCCATCCCATGGGTTATACCTACAACACAAAATAATATTTATAATAGGGAGTTATGTGTAATCGACAGAGAACAAGGTTGGTAGAAGGGACAAGGGATGATTTTCGTTCACAACAGCCTTTTACTAAACTGCTGCACCACTTGTCAACGAATTTGTTTCATATCATAAATGAATAAACAAATATATTAAACGCAACTGTAGCTACACAAAAAAATGTATTACAAATACAAAGGAAAGGGAAAAAAAGTTATTAAAATTTTCGGGAGAAACTTCGGAATATGTATCAATGTTTTTCTTTTTAAAAAATACATTTTATCAAAAAACAAATATCAACTGACCACATGACTGCATTACAAATGCACTATTCATATATTTGAAACGCGAACCTCAAGTAACATTATTTTAACATACGACAGTAACACACATGATGATTAAAATATTTAGAATGGTACAACTTATGTGAACAATAGATAATTTATTCACTGTGACGATTCCTACATTAACAACTCTACGTCTTACTACTTTATAACTACTTTGCTAAGTTTTATTGTATGATTTATCTAATACTAGATAGAGAGAATTTAGATGTTCTGATGTCCCCTATAAAGTTTTGCGCTCGTACTTATGATTCCAGTACACCAACGGAAAAACATATAATCGAATGTGAACGAGGTGATTACATATATACATATACATATACAAACCTATTTTCTACCACTACAAACATTTGCAAAATGTCCTCAACTTATATATGTATATAATCGATTCGAAAGTAAAAGATTGTCTATTTCAATTCTAAGCGGTCAATTTTCATATCGCAAATTTCTTATTACATGTAAAATATTGTTACTCTGCACAATACATATCTCCCAAGAGCAATGACTATTTCGTTAGCCCCCTAATGGGTGCTCATAAATCGGCTTTAAAAAATAGAGATATTTCCATTTAAAAATTTAAAAAGTGTTTACTTCCTACGACAGTTGAATAGTTCAATTTTTATAGTTTCAAACAAAAGACAGCTTTTCTTTAATAGCGCAAAACACAACTCAGCTGCTCAGCTGAATTCTTACGCAAGGTTGTATCAAATACTACTACGAAAAACGCACTACAGAATATAAACAGCTGGTATTAAAGTGTTAGATTATTCCTATTCAATATCCTATACGGGAAAAAGACGATACACAACTTTTACCTTCCTCTCTCAGAGCAAACAAAATTTTGCAATAACAATGCCAGCACAATACCACACAATGCTGCCAAGTGCTTAGAGAAGTCTCTCAGCAAATTAAAAAAATTTGGTCATAACGAGTGAGAGTGAATATACTCCTTCATGCTTCAGAGTCATATTTTTTTTTTGTTAGTCTTTCTTTGTGCGTTTGTTTTCCTTAATATTTTCTTGTGGTAACGAAAAAAATCAATCAAAGAAAACCAGTAGACAAAACAACAACAATTTGGAATTGAGAAAAAAGAAACTTTTTAAAAATCCATCTTTCTCTTCAAAACAAAAAAAAAAGAGAATAAAAACTAGTTCATATTTGTTAAATATAGATTTTATTAATTTTTATATTTTCTCAGTTTATTTTTTTAACAAGTTTATTTTTTTCGAGTAAAATTTATGAAAGAATTATGCAGAAAATGAATACAACCAGCTGTCTTCAAAAGTATATAAAAAGCGTTTGTTTAATCGCAAATGCCACGAGTTTATTTAAAATAAGTTTATTTCGTATATAAAAATTGCCTGCAAGCAGTCTACCGTGTCGATTATCACAATAAAAAAAGAAAAAAAAAAAAAAAGAAAAGAATTGTGAAAACCAAGAAAACAAAACGTCTACACCAACAATATGTATGGTGGCATTGGCACCGTAATGTGTGTTACTCAAAAGTTTTATGCAGAATCCACCAATTCTGTCACAGATTCTTCTTTTACTGGCAGCACAGAAGCAGCGGCAGCGATTCCATTACCTTTTAGTAGAAATTCATTGCACTGCCAACGAAAAGTTCTAATCAAAGCTAGGTAAATAATATTCTTAAAGCGGTTCCTATTCGCCATTAAACGATCAATTACTTATCAAACTATTTGCCATTAATCGTTAAGCGTAAATTTTATGAATTAATCTCGATAATCTTTTGTGTTTTATGAAAACGAGCGTACACACGATCATTTTTTCACATTTTTAACTAAGTTAAGTTGTTGACAAAATATGAATATGAATATATATTCAAAATCGGTCTGGTTTTAAATTTTTTTTGATATTTTAAAAGGTAATTTGAGAAAATGATACAAAAGGGGAGTCAGTCACTCAACGAATAATTAACTACTCTGTTAGAAGAGATTTTTAGAAAATATATTCAAAATAACATTGGCTCGCAAATAGTATAAATAATGACTATCATAGAATTTATATCTGTCATAAAACTAATTCGACGTTTGGAGCTCTAAGTTTGGAAAATGAGACGTAAATATACATATACATATATACAATTAACAATAATATTACAATTCTTTAAAATAAATCCTCCTTTTACAGATTTTGATGTGTTTCAACATTTCCGCAAAAAACAATAAATTTATAGATGAAATTGTCCATAACCAGGAAGAAATATATATTAATATAATATAACTGTATTTCTTTAAGTTCTAAGTATGGATTATTTCTAAAGGACCATTGAAAGTTACATATATGTATTTGTGTTCACAAACACAAAAATTTGTTACATCTAAAGTGACTCAATTAATTAGCTTCACCTTAAGAGCATAACGAAAAATGATTAGCATATCTAATATAGAAAAAATAAAAATTGTCCACAAAACCATACCGTAGTTTTTGTTTTGCACGGTGGTTGATAAATATCAACTTAGAAACGGACAGAGACTGCATCCAAACATATTTGAATAAATGATATTCTGCTTGAATTCGCAGTGAAAGTAAAACATTTGCAAGAATATATGAACGGATCAAACCTTGTTAGTGAAACAACAAAAAAATAAATAAAGCAAATAATAATAATTAAGCAGGATTTATTTAAATTTTTAAAAGTAATATGACTGGTAGCCCTTTTCAGTAAAAATTAGACCGAAAGTTAGTTAAATATAAAGTTTAATTAAAAGTAAATCAATTTTGAGACATTCAGTTATATTCTAAATGTTGCCAGAATTTAGCTTTTGAGATTTCTTCCAGCTAGGTATTAACGTTTAATGAAATGAAATAAGAAAATCGATTACATTGGATGAAAAAATTTGTCACTTTAATCTAATCAAGAATTGATAAAATATATGTCGGTGGTGCAAACAGTGAATTTAACTTCTGGTTAAGGATATCAATTAAAAACTCTAAACAGATTAATAAAACAAAAAAAACAAAAAAACCTTCTGTTCTCAGTTTATGTTGCACTGCAGGTGTGTCCAAAGCTTTTGCTAAATTTGAAGGCAATATTCCTGTTTTTGCGGCCGAGATGATGCTTACCACAGGCTTAGGTCGATTCAGAATTTGATGTTAATCAATAACATACATATAGTTTATAGGGGTCTCACAAGTTTCCTACTAGATGCTGCGAACGTTTTGACAAAATTAACATATCTTTATTCTATGGTGATGAGTATAAGAAGTGCCCCGCACATCGTATGATATGTGTTTTGAACGAATGGGTCACTCATAAAAAGCTGCTAATACGTTGCAAGAGAAGAATTTTATTCGGATTAAGTCGAATAAATAAATATATTTCTATTCGACTTATATCGTGTATAGGACATATTGGAAAGTACGATTTTTTATGCTCTTATATAACTATAAATCAAGCAAAAATTTTGTATGCGATTCTTTGATAACTAGGGATGAGTCCTCGACTAAGTTTAGCTTCATTCCAAGTCTAACGTAGGAACTTTGGAAAGAAAAATTTTTCCCTTACCCTTTAATAAAATTTCAGCCCTATCTACTGAAATCATCGAATTGTTCATTCTATAAATTTTTTCCGTTAAAGGAAAGCTAAAAATAGAATAACAAGAACAAGAAAGTATCCCAAATAACAGTTGTTTTAAACAAGCAGTGCATTGGGTAAAAACTGCTAATAATGAAATAAAACATAAGAACTGCAGCGCGATTCGTATCAACGCTCAGCGCACGCTTAGACTTCCAGATCCCAGATGTAGTTTGTGTTGTATTGACGAGAACGTATTTCAAAACTCGTAAGCATTTTTTTCTCTGCTTTTTTTTTTCATAAAACAAAAAACCTAACCTTCTTGCCAAAGAACAATAATATTCTTCATCTATTTTTGTCACAAGATGCTAAAAACTAGACTTATTTTACCATGAAAATGCCATAAAAATTCTTATATTTGAGAGCTCGTCACAAAATGATCTCAGCTCATTTCAATTTTCCTCAATTATTTAGTATAGTGAAATGCTATTGTTTACCATTTAAAATGGAACCATTTTTTATATGATGTTTTTTAAGCATTTTTTGGGGAGAGCGCTTGGAAAGGTGATCTAATCCAATCATAGCAAATTTCATTGCAATTTCTCGAACATTTCGAAGATTTGTGAGCAGATATCAAATAGAATAGATGCGGAGTCTATTGTTAAAATAAAAATTGGAACTATCCACAATTCCATCTGGCTGTTGTACATATCCCCATCAAGCTGTATGTTATCATTTGCGATATAAGGGGCGTAATTAATGATATATATTTAAATTGAACTAAGGGAAATGTTATCAAAGCGTATGTGTTCTCATACAGTATCTAAATAAATGTTCTTGTGCAACGGTTTACACCATCACCACCGACAATTACGTTCACATAATTAGATTAAAGGAAAGATTAACGATAAAAATTTGCTTTTTGCTGTTGGTATTTGTTGTCGTTCAGAAAATATCTGTTATCCTTAATTTAACGTAAATGAATTGAGGCCATGATACAGGAACGCTTGTATATGGTTCCCTGTTCCGCTTTCGTTTTGAACTGTTAGGTTTCGAATAACTGGAAAGATCTCAGGATTTTGCAATGATATGCTTAACACATCTACATCATTTGATAGAGGTAGAGCAGATAGAGCTGGATGACTATTATTACTATTCATCAAAATGTTGAACTATTTAGGTAAATCGAAGTAGGTCTGCGCATTTAAAATTTAGATTATGGCACTTACCTTTCACGTCCAGGTGGGACATTCCGAATTTTTACTTGTTTTTTTGTTATCACACTTGCAAATTCTTGACAGAGAAGCATTTCTTCGTATATCGTTCTTCTTTATACAAAATAGGAAAAAGAAAACAATAACTAATTATATCAATAAATGTAAACGCATGCGATTATTTGTATGAGTGCTTGAATAATAGCATGTAATATATTCACATTTGTAATATGTGATTGCATGTATTTTGATCAGCGTTATCTATTAATGAAAAAGTTAAAGTAATGCAAAACATATAAAATGATTCCGTAATTCGTTAATTTCGATCGTGTTCTCTATATAAAGTAATTGAATTCCATTTCGTATTATTGAATTATTCAAGTGCATGCAGACACCAACTATATGAAACGTTCAAAATTGCATTTTCAACATTCATTACTTTTGTTGTTCGAATCTGCTGTCAGATTTGAACAATTCCATCAAACACTTTTAGAAGTCCAAGGTGACGCTGCGTCATCGTCAAAGCTGTGCTCAAACTCTCGAAACACTTTCGTATAGCTTAGCAGATGACGAATGAATTGTCTCCAGAGATTTACATATGATGGGAAAAATCCAAAATTAGAGAAACTGACTGCCATACGAATTGACTGAAAATACGATTACGAACCATTTCAACAGCTTGCTGGGCAAAAAGAGACTGGAAACGAATAGTGGCTCTATTACGCCAATCTCAAGCGCAAAAAATGATCGGTTCATCCACATCGACACCGAAGCGGAATATTCATGCCCATAAAGCTTTGCAATGCATCTGGCGGAATGGCAACAAGGTATAGTAATGTATTATGAGCTGCGAAAAGCGAATGAAACTGTTATTGCAGATGCCTACCGATTGTCAAATGAACAAATTGAACGATGCAAAAGAGATCTGCAATAGGGGCTAACATACGCATAATCATGCTCTTGCATCGCTCGCACACACCTTATGACAGTTGTAAAGGATACACTGTTGTAGCGCGAATAAGCAGTTTTTCCGCTCTCCTCGCTATGGCGCTCTCTGATTATCACTTGCTTAGATCGATGTAACATGGCTTGGCTGGCACACAATTTCGAAATGATGAAAAAGCGCAAAAATGGATCGATGATTCAATCGCTACCAAATAAATATCGTTTTCTCGACACGATATCGCCAACCTGCCAAGAGGATAAGAAAAAGTTGTAGAAAATGATGGAAAATCTTTTAATTAATATATGTTGTATCAATTTTTCTCAATAAATGATTTCTTTTTTTTTTTTTTTTAAATAAAAAAATGATCAAAATACATGCAAATACTTAATATCTATGTATTAGTGCAAAGTTAAAGATATGGTCTGATGCGTCTAACGTCTTCTCTGTTTAATTTAATGGAAAAACTATGTAAGACTATTACACTACTTTAGGTAACATTTCTATGAAGGAGTTTAAAATGTTCTAAAAGCAAACATGCATACAAAAGATATTTTTATACATCCGGGAGCTTATTATATTAAAATAAAAAAAAAAAAAATAAAAATAAAAAAACTAACAGAACTGTTTGATTATGCACATCACACAAATATTAAAATGCAAGCACTTTTGCAACGTATGCGAAATTGATGGGCTACGTAACTTCAACTGCCACGACAAGCAACCGCAAATAACCGCAATAACGGTTAAGTGATTGTTAAGATCAAAGATTTAATCTGCAAATACTTAAACTTCTACATTCAGTTATATTCGTTTTGCAAGCAACAGAGAATTCTGAGAGCATCAAGCAAAGGATCTATCAATTATTATTCCTCTTGTCTACATATAAACAATTGAACATTATTGAGAATTAGAAGATCGTCAAAGAATTTGAGAACTAATCTGAAAAAAATTTAAATCAGTCCAATACAAACGCTTGACTCAGACACACAAAGTTTTATCTAACATTGGGGTAAATAGCTGTTAGCTTTGTTCTGAAGAGCAGCAGCGTCTGAAAATGACGCCAAGAGTAAGATGAAGTAGTACATGTCATGTATTAACGAAAGTAGATACAAATAGAGAAACAAAGCCGATAAGAGTTGACTGAATGCCGAATCTGAATTGCAACACTGTTAAATTAAATTTTATTAGGAAGCAGTGTTTAAATGAATGGCGTCTGTTCATTGGACGTAGTTACTGCAATTTATGACTTATTCTCATTTACATTCCAGCGGAAAGTACACACGTGAACTAGACTATTACGTTCTCTGGAAAAAATCTGAAATTTTTATTTAAAGGCGTGTCTAATGCGCATACATCTATTTTACAAAGATTATGACTAACTGTCATAATGTTATATCTCATATATAAAAATATGTTTTCCAAAGTCAGCACTTCTTTGGCTATCAAATTTTGCAAATTCTGGTTTTCATATTAAATACTAAAGCGCTTCATATACATGTAGAGTTATTCACACGTTTCCACATATTTCAGCGATATTCTGGAATGTTTTGTAAAAATTGTACTTCACAAGTTTTGCGATTAGCTTTTTTTATTCACGAGCGGAGTGCATGTATATGCTAATTATGTCATTTTGCAATTCCGTAGCGGGTAGATAAGTTCACAAAATAATTATTCTTGATCTATATGAGATTTTGACTTTTCGTAGCCATCTTCATTAGTCAACATCGGCTTTTATTTGATGTATTTGAGGACATAAGTATGGAAAGTCGTTTACGATCTATGAATATTGCAAACTATTAAAGAAGATTTATTCCCGACATCACTTGCGATACAATGTTTATAATATTCAGATAGTCTTAAGGTAGACTCAGCTCTTATTGTACCGATCGATTCAGAATCATTTTCTAAATCAATTTAAACGTATCTGCTTGTCTGTGTACTACGTATATTAAATTTGTGCAGATATGTGTCACGTCCAGATAATCTCAACATAGATCCACCTGTTATTATATTATCCGATTCATAATGATTTTCTAAATCTAAATTTAAGCGTATCTGACGTCTGTTCATGCATTGTTTTATTCACACAAGAGATCGACTCTTTCGAGATATTTTGATGAAATTTAATACACAGACGTATGTAGTTTGGACCAACAATGAACGCATTTACATCGGAAAGGGGTATAATCTTTTCTATTCTACCACGAAACTAAATGAAAGATTAGATTAAGTTCTGTCGACCTCATCGAAAGTCTACGAGGAAACCTAATAATGCACATAATATAATAAAGATATGATTGGTTTTCTAAATAAACGAACGAAGCGTACCTTGATTAATGAATGCGATTAATTCTCATCAAAAATATAAAATTCATTCACCCATATATCCATAACCATGCGACGACCTTAATCTAGTGAAAATTAAGAAAAAATATATATATATATTTAATATTTATCATTTATTTTCCAATGATTAAATTTACAAAATATTGAAGAGAAAATTCTCTTCTCTATGCATAATAAAAAATAATAATAAGAATAATAATAATAATAATAATAAAAAACGGTTATTAATAAGTTGTTAATTTTGTGTTGCTCTTCTCTTTCATTGATTTAGATCTACCAGCAGTGTTAGTACAATTGAGCAGAATTTTCCAAATTCAACAATCGTTGCCACAACGACGCCCATTACTTCGCTGCATAATCATGCTGGTACGCAAAGTGTCTTGTGCTTGAGTGCTTTTGAAAAGGATTTGCGTATACAGCCAGTGCATAAACCGCAGCAATCGCATCAGCATCGTAATAAGAGATTATTTCAACAGCAGTTATCAACGCCTATTGAAGGTGTGATAACCAACTCACCAGCATCAGCAAGTGGTGCTGGTGATTACTCAAGTGCAAGGTAAGTGCATAGAAAGAGAAAAAAAAAAAAAAAAACAGAAAGAGTACGAGAAAGAGGTAAAGGAAGCAAAGGATAAAATGATATTGACTTATGTTCAAACGAAAAGTGCAATATCTTCTAATGCCTTATAGCTAGCAAGAGATTTCAATTTATTGCTATAATCTGTTTTCTTTGTAACATATTGCAACAAAAGTTATTAGAAAAAGTGTTTGAAATTTTTTTTTGTTTTTTTTTTGCTTTTTTCGATACAATTCATACATTCTACGCATCTATTAAGCAATATTTCATAGACAGTGACTCATCATCGTCTTCATCATCAGATAAATAACCAACAACGTCAATATAACATAGAAATAAAATCAAGGAAAATATAAACAAGTGAGCAAACCTAATTCCCAAAGATCCCCATCAATCATCTAAATCAACAAATATATTAAAATGACTTAAAAGATAGAAAACTTATTGAAAATTGTACAACTTTGTAATTGTTTTTGCAAACTTATCATATAATTTCGGTGCATTTTTAGCAAACTGTTAATATATACTCAAACCTGTTTTTGTGCGGTGGATACGGCTCGCATAAAAGAGAACGCATAAAAAAATCGCTCAAAACTGCACGCGTAGCTATAAAAAATAGTTTTCGAAATACAATTAGAAAGTTTTTTTTTTTTTTTTTTTTTTTTTTTTATGCGGTGAGTTAGGATCGCATAAAAAAAGTCTTCCGTACAAAATAACTCAAAACCTTACGGTATAGGTTGTATTACCTTAGTGCGAGCTTATGCAACACCCAGAAAGGCTTAAAATAGACTCACACTTTAATATACCGTAATTTATAATGAAAATTATATCACAATAGCCTCTCGGCAAAAAAGAAAAATTAACGGAAAAGAGTTTTTGATCAGAGAAATTCATTTTTTTTTTTTTTTGGACCCTAATATGTTAGGCGCTATCGCCTATGTGGGCTGTCATGAAAATAATGTGTACATTTTGATCTCTTATTACTGAAACAAGCGGATAACTATACTAGGCGAAGTGATGTAGCGCAGGTAATAGCCGACGTTGCCCGACTATAATGTTTTTACTTGTTTATGTTAAGAATTTTTTGTAGGCAGCATTATATAAAGGGCTATCGTAAAAAATGTCTAATTCAATGCATTTTTGACTGCCCTCTTGAGCCACAACATGTCAGGACAAGAAATATTTATTTCATGCCTACTCAACATTATAGTGTATCAGCATGTAATTATTTTTTCCAGTATCTTTATAATATGCAGAAAAAAGCTTCAACAACCCCATAAAGTATAAAGTTGGCCAGTTACAATCCTTAAATGCTCCTAAACGACGGACATCTGCTTGTCTGTCCATCTATCTGTCTGTCTGTTTGCGTAACTTCGCCGCAAAAATTTGCAAAAGAATTTGAAATTAACATAACCTTTTCAAAGGGCACGCCTGTAACGCCCCTATACCACTACAATAAAGACTTCTATTTTGAAGGTAGAAGCAATCAACTGCGCTCGCTGCATATTATAGAGCATGAGAATTTTCTTCTTTTACTTTTTTTTTTTCCGTCTTTTTTCGGGGTAAACGGAGATGAGTATAAAAACATCGGTCCCGACCGAATTTAATTTTTTTTACTACTTTAAGTTTTAATGTACTCATCCCGATGGTCGGTATAAAAAAAAAAAAAAAAAAAAAAAAAAAACGCTAAAAATATGCACTTCTTACATGGCAAACGTATTATCTTAAGTATGTATATATGTATGTATTTTTCTACAGATTGCTTATAAAAAAGGGGCAGAAATCGATGGGAAAATGAAAACATTGCGTTTAAGGTCATTTTGTACACTTAACTTATAAAACTCTTAAAGGAAATTAAAAATGAATGACTTAAAATATAAAAACAAGTCAGGACATTATAGTCAGGCAAGGTCGCACATAAAATACCCTACATCACATTACATTTAATACAATTCTTATTTTAATTATAAATAACACAAAAATTAGATCTTCTTTCTAAATGAACGCATATTTTTCATGTGCGCGCCCCGAAAACACAAACTAATATAAGACAAATAGGGCAGGATTCAAAAACATGCGTAGATGATGCAAATTTTGTAGAGTAACTACAAAGTGAACTATTAAGTCTGCGAAAAGTCTTGCAAGACGAAGAGTTTAAAATATTGATCAATATGATCGAAATATATATCGCAGATAATTTTTTGTGTAATATGATTACTACGGTCCCATTCACCACCACCACCACCCCCCCCCGAGTCTATTAAAGTTAGATCTTTTTGCTTTATATAAAAATTCACTTTTCGTAGAAACAGTTGTGTTTATAAGAGGGCTCAAGAAAAAAATCTCCGTCCAAATTTCATCAAAATACATCAGAAAAATTAATCGATAACTATAAGACAAATAGACCGAAAGACAGGTTTAAAGAAATCGATCGGTATATTAATAGATTGATCTAGTTTATGCCATTTTCTTACATACATCTATACATTTAAAGTAGTGTAGGCTATAAAAACGTGGCTCATATGCCATTTAGAAACTATATATCATGCATCAATTATTCCGGCATAATTGTAACAACAGACAGGCGGGAAGAGAACACACGCTATCCGAGAATACGCATGTATATTTTTTTATTAACGTTTCTGATACGTATTTTCATATCTTGTAAGCGAATTGTTGAAATTATTATATTCCGTTCACACTTTGATGTGCATACGAAATTGTTTTATATTAGTAATATTAATACTATTAACCGTTATTGCCTATATGCATACACCTTATATATAAATAACTTTCGCTTTTTGTACTCCACCCTCTATATGAGATAGTTGATGTATCAAGTTTGCTTGAGTGTATGTGTATTTTTTTTTTTTTAGTATAGTGTATTATATGACCAATCACTCAGGGGATGGCTCCTATTCATGTAACATGATAATGGTGTGGAAAAAGTGAAGGAAGAGGAAGAAAAACGGTATGGGATGGTGATCGCAGCTTAGTGAATGGGTGTCTAATAGATAAGCGTTACGCCTCACTATAATTACGACCAAGATAAACTCTACCGAATTGAGATTTGAATCCACAAACACAGACATGGTAATCGTGAATTATACTTGCTCGGCTACTCATACGAATAAGTTTGTTTGGATATATGTAACATCCGGAAGAATTTAACGTGGTTACACCGATCGATCCAGAATTGCTATTCGAATCGATTTACACATGTCTGCCCGCCTGATATCTGTTAATGCCTTTTTTCTATTTTTTTTTTTATTCACGCTACTGGACAAATTTTTGGGATATTTTGACAACATTCCATTTCATTAAGATGTTTTGACCCGGGGGCGAATTCTATTCAAAATCGGTTTGATCGAATCATTTTTATAAGCATAAAAATTCGCAATTCTTAATTGTTTTTTCGTCATTCCGGCAACATGTTAAATTCGTGGGAAACATTTATATCGGATGGTGTGACGTCATGAATCACATACTATAAAAAAATCGTTCCTCCGAAAGGAGGTAAGCCATCATAAGGAAAAATGATCTAATTTGTAACATAACATAAATTAGTTTAATATAAAAATTCAATTATACTATGGATCATGTCGGTCTCTTTTCCATATTCCCCATTCGTATAAGGGTCCTGATGAAAAATAAATCATAAGTTATATATGACAAAAATATCAATTTGCTAATATGTTGTTATGACGGTAATTGGATCACAACAGTAATTTGACATCAAAATTAATTATACCGGATACGTAGGTTTATTTTACGGGCACCCTTCCCGCTCTTAGTAAAATTAAGCGATTGTATGTTAACGAAATCTAATTTGTAATACTTTATAACGATTAATAGAATCAGAAGTTTAGCTTTGCCAAATTAAAATCATCAATCGTCGTCATTGCACATTTCGAGCCGTCTCTCGTGTAAGGGGACGCAAAACAAAATCTGCCTTTAGATGCGAACAAGTCATAATTGTTGCTATTCATTTATTCATACTAAGTGAATAAAGAACCGTAGCACGTATAAAAAAAATTTATTGATCGGCTTTGCTCTATTTAATGACTATAATGTTTTTACTTTTTTTTTTGTGATTTTATAAAAAATAAATTTTCAATATTTTTGTCATTTTGTTCAAATATTTTGCTTTATTAAGTTGATAACAAATGTCTGCAGGTGTTTGCCTTATCTTAGACATTGTTTCGCCATAATTCGCTTTAAGTATTTCAAATTTAAGATTATATGAGATTTTGATAGACGTAAAATTTTCTAACAAACTGATGGAGTTGGATCGTTCAACTTGATTATCAAAATGTACGAATTTCCCGATGAAATCGAAACGATAAATTAATTATGTGTGTGTGTGTGTGTGTGTGTGTGTGTGTGTGTGTGTGTGTGCTTTATTTGCATGTATTAACTACTGTCTTCTATACGCATAATTTTCCCTCTGCTGCCATCAATTATTTTTATTTTACATGCAATGACCGAGGGACAGAAAGAAGCATTATTTCAAAAGCGCTAATAATCGATAAGTCATCAATCAATTTTTTTATTATGGCAACGAGATGGCCTATCATATATTTTGCTACATTATTATTAATGTTTATTATGGTTTTTAAATAATTTTAATATATTTATGAAAAAAAAATTCTTCATTAAACATTTTCTTTCGTAAGCTTGTGTGATAATATTTGATAAGAATGGAAACTTTTACTCACTACATTTTTCAATGTAATGACTCTCGGCAGGTTTGTCCACCAGCAGTCCACGATGGGGGGCCAAATAAAAGATCTTTTTCAAAAGCAATACTGCCAATGTATTAAAACAAAAGGATTTTCTATATTCACAATTTTCCCATTTTTTATTTATTTATTTATTTATTATTAAAATCGGAGAATGAAAGATGAGTCTGTAAAACTTTCAATAAAAGAGGCGATGTGTTGAAGATGTTCATTTGAATTTGCAAGTTCGCCTCGGCCAATACGAGTTGTAAACGGATGTTTCTGTCTCTGCCTGATAAAATGTGTGTGCGTGTCTAGACGTGTGAAGAAGAGTAGTAATATTGTAACATTTTTGAAATGAGTAACAGTTTCCTGTGTGTGCCTTTTGTCCGGGTTAAAGGGGGAAATCAAAAACAATAGCTGAAAATAATAGGTATTCTATAAGGTGTTTTATATAATTTCGTATTACGTATTACGTAACAATCAAGTCTGTCTAAGGTATCTAAGAAAAGGCAGTTTTTAATTGCGTAACTCATTCTTCGCTTGGGGAACATACGAATTGCTTTAATCTTTTATGCGAAAGAACGCAATCGATGCATCCTTGAATAGGGAGGGAAAGCGTATTAAAAGAATTGTCCAACATATAATCTGCATGGTAGCGAATTCAATAATTGAATCCGATCTTAATTAATTTTTTTTGTCAATTTTCCACATCTCTATATATGCAATATAGGTTTACATCAGAGATTTTCATTAATTACAGCGTGACGAAAGTGTAACGCGATGATAACATGAAGGTAGGACAAATCGGTTGTAAAATACGAATATATGATATTTGATGTATCGTTATTATCTTTGTATAAGTTTTTAGCGTGGGTTGTGGTCGTCGCATTGCACACATATATATATTATATATATACAATCAGTGATATTTATATGTATGTATGTATGTATATGCGTTGCCACCAAAACAAATAATTTGATTTAAAACATTGTTTAGTTAATAACTAACGGTGTTAAAAAGCGTGTTAGAACTCGCATCGCAACGGAACATTAACATTAAAATTATAAAGAGAATATATTTTGTTTTTGTTTTCGTTATTGTTTTTTTATTTTTGTGTTTCTCGTTTTGCGTTGATGACAAGCCGTTTTAAAGTTCCTCTAAAACCGTTATTACTGTTCTATTCATATATTTTTATTTTTTTTTTTGTGTTCATTTTCACTTTCATTCTATACGAGACGAAAGTTAGGTTTTTTTTGTCGAAATTTTTAAATTCTCTTTTATTTTTTCTTATTCAAATTGTCAAAATTATTTTTCACATTTTATCTGTCCGTTAATAAAAACGCGTTTTTTTTTTTCCCCCGATAACTCGCTGTTTGATTCAGCTATCAAATCCTTTCTCTCGTCTTAGGTGTTTTATGGGAAATAGAAAAGAAGGGCAAAATGGTCTATGATTCGTTAACAAGTTTAGTGGAGAGCGCGAAAAGCGTTTTCCAACCGCGTAACGACAACGATATTAAATCATTTGAGAATTATATTTTTAATAATTATATAACCGATATGGAATTGGATGAGGAGGACGAGGAGGAGGAGAAGGAGGAGGAGGAGGAGAACAACGCCGACGAAAATGAGAACGTGAATGAGAATAAAAATGAGAATGACGCGCGTCTACGAAATGATGATCATGCAAAGAACAAAGGAAAACCTATAGGTCCAACAATAAAAAGGAGAGAAATTTCCATCGCCGGTACCGGCCATTTGTTAGCCGATAAACGTGGCCGGAAATTATTAGGCAGCAAAAAACTAAAACGCGTATCAATGGTCGAATTGCCGCAAACTCATCGTGATTGTGAATTTTCAACGAATTTGCAACGCTTCAGTTCAATGCAGTAAGTAACAGAGAAGAAGTGTCTGACCAAAATAATCCATAACAGTAATAAAGGTGGGTGATGTAAATAGCGAGAATTTTGCACCAAGCCATGCATGCCATCAAGTTCTTGTAACAATTCATTCTAAGCGAAATTGCGGACAAAATTGAAGACAGCAGGGTTATCTAAAACGAAATCAGTTTTAAAATGACCATATATATATATATTTATAACAAAAAAAAAATAACTAGAAAAAAAGGAAAAACTAAGCCTACAATAAAATAACGATCATCTGATCATGAGAACTGAAAGACTTAAAATGAAATTCGCAACGGTATACGCTAATAATCATAACCTCTCCTGCTTTATGTGTGTATGTATGTATGGGCGCGGGTGTGTGTGTGTGTGTGCATGCGTGCGACTAAGGCATTCTCTAAACTAATCTAAATGATTGGGTGAACTTCGGAATTGCTTGACAAGAAGCGATTCATTAGCAGTGGCAAAGGCTGAATTATTATAAAGTTTCACGCGCGCAACGAACTGCCCACCGACAATATCAAGTTGACGGTACCAATTGAAATTGAAGGCTCCTTGCTTAATTGAAATCAACAAAAGAAATCATTTAATTTTAAAAAAAAAAAAAAAAAAAAAAAAAAAAAACATTTTTTATGCGCTAATACCTCACAAAGTGGCGTTAATTACATCATTTTTCAATACGATGCCAGTAACTATGAAAAAGGATTAAAAAGCTCTAAGTACGGAGTACTTGTAAAAGGTTAAACTCGTTATAATAATTCGAAATGAGTTTGATTACACGTTTCAAAGCGACTTTGAACCTATCGCGATATTACTTCAGTTACAAATTTTATCTAAAAAAAAAAGAAATTTTCATTTTTATTTATTCCTCATACAAATGAATTAGAATGAGAAAGAAAGCATTAAAAAGCAGATAAACTAATAAATAATAAAAAAAAAAATAATAATGATAAAAATAATAATAAGAAATGAAATTAAAAAAAAAAAACAATATATTATGATATCATCGATTTTCTTTTTATTTGCATTCTTATGATCTCTCTCTCTTCAGATCTCTAAAACATAATAATAACTCCACAAGATTAGGACAATTGGTAAACGTTCCATCTGAGGTTAGCCTGCGCAGCATAAGTCCTTCTCGACGCAGTGCGAGCAGTAACAGCAGCAGCACGGCCAAGCATGAGCATTCATCAACGGCAGCCACAGCTGCCACCGGGTCGTCCGCTGCGGCTGCTGTCTCCACCTCTTCCTCTACTACACCGCCTGAAAAAGAGAAAAAACGCAAAGAAGTTTCCAGCTCCCGAGTGAAAAAATTCCATAGGCATTTTTCGCAAGTCTCCAAAGATGAGAAACTTATCAACTGTAAGTATTAATATAAAAAAAAAATAAAAAAAATAGTTTTAAAGAATATCATCTCAATAATAAATTACATCCTCACAGGCAACCAAACATTACTCCAAAGTTGTAAACACCATATAAACAATAGATGAAAAAATCTTAAAAGATTTTCAATTACGTACTTTTTGCATTAATTTTATTATTTCACGTTAGAAGAAAAACGATAGTATAACAAAGCAAAGGATAATAGAGTGCTATTAAGCATATCTTCCCGTTAAACAAGAAAGACAATAACGGAAACATTCTTGCGAGGCAACCGTCTTAATTTGAGGACAACAAAAGATGACAATCCGAGTATTTGATTAGAAAAGAGAATATTTTTCGAATCAAAAATGAAAATTAATCCTTGCGTTTTCAAAAACGCATTTCACGTTCCAAATGACGTAGACAACAGTTCCGTTTGGAAAAAATCAAATTTATAGCTACATCCACATCCACAATTGTCTGTTTGTATCATTCATTGTGAGAGATCATTACTTCCAAGTAAAATATTATAAGTGATTCAAAAAGACCCCGGCACTATAGGCGCTATAGCTCTATAGTGCTCTCTATTGATTTCACTCACATTATAAAGACGCATATGAAAATTGGGCATAAAAAGGATCATATTCGGCTTCACTTGCCACATTTCAACAACAATAAGTTACAAATTGTTGAAGGAATGTTAAGAAAGTTAAGAATTGTAGCTACGTTACGTCACAAATCAAAATTGAACACTTCATACAACGTAATTCATCTATAAATCTCTTATGATTGCCTTGATATTAATTTCAGATTTTTCATGTGCACTAGTCAGTGATATATTGCTGCAAGGACATCTTTATATAACAGATAAACATTTTGCATTTTATTCAAATGTCTTTGGTTATGTAACTAAGGTAAGTCTCGTTACAATTGATTTAATATTTGGCTTACGTCATTTCGATTTATTTTCATATATATTTCGACAGGTTGTTATACCCACTTCGTCTGTGACGAAAATTTCGAAAGAGAAAACCGCTAAAATTATACCTAATGCTGTAGGTGTGGCCACGGCTGATGAGCGTCATGTTTTTGGCAGCTTTATTAGCCGTGAAGCGGCTTTTCGTCTTATGTGTAGCGTGTGCCCGCCATTAGCGCCAGCGGTAGCACTCTTGCCCAAAGATCCAGCTAGCATAGAAATATCGGAAGAATACTCAATCGAGGATGATAGCAGTTGTTCGGTGAGCGGTAACGAAAGTCCAGCTCAAACAAACGAGAATGGTTGCAATGTTAATTCAATGGCTGCACACAAAGACTCTAGTCAAACTCTGCTAAGGCATACGATAACCAATTCGAATTTAAGTATTGTGGAAAGTTCTGCTCAACAAAGACATTCCGGTTAGTTAAAAGGGAAGGCGAACTTTTTTTAAATAATTACTAATTATCGTTTTTTGTTTTTTTATTACCTATTATTTAGATATTCCTTTAAATGCCAAAACCGCAGTATTCTCAGCTTCCTCAGCTAATCTGCATACGCATATTGCTGGTTCTCGTATTTCAGCACCAATTGTTGCTAATTTAGCTAAAACTACCAGCAACGTTGGTGGCGGTGTTGGTTCCTCTGCTAGTAATAAAAATAAGTCTTCGTTAACATTCTCACAACCCACCGCCTGCACTGCTTCTTTAACCGTTCTACCTTCGTCTTCGACCGCAGAAGCAAATGTTACTTTTATAGCTGGCACGGCTTCTACCACAACTTCGGCCACCTCAACACCAACACCATCGACATCGTCCTCTCCTACGACAGTGCAAGCAAAACCATCAACCTCTATTCAAAAGGCTTTGCAAACATTGCGTACTTTCACCAAGACAACTATGCTGCGTATTCGATATCCAAGAGAATTGCATGTCGTCTATATGGGTGTTATGCTTACATTAGTCTTAACGGTATTTACAATATTTCTACTCTACCGGATATTAGATATTGAGGCCAAAACGTCAATTTATAGATTACCAAATGAATTTAATTGGGTAAGTGAAATGAATAAATACATTTTTCGCAAAGAAAGCATTTTAAAGACAGACATGCATGTACATAAAGTATAAGTATAAATAAAAAAATCGCATTCAATATCGCATTTCTCAAGCTTCGATTATCCGCTTGCAATCATTATAAAATTGGAAGAGATCCGTTAATTCATTATATTTACATTTTTAGCGTTCTGGTAACGATGACGATATCTTTGCAGAAGCACTACGCTTTCAAAATGAGTTAGAGCATAAAAGCACTGAAGAGGCGCAGAATATACTTAGAGCGAATTTAGAACAAATCGCTAAGGTTGGTATTATACCTTATTGTTCATGTATCTATATATATATATATATGATGTCAATGAAGTACTTGGACGGTTAATGGTTAATGCAATCACTTTTGCGTTGATGGAAATTTAAATTAGCTTCGCGATAATTTCAACGACCGCTAGTGAATTATTTTGATTTCGTCATCTGTTACTCTTATTATCAAGAAGAAGAAAGATTGTCTTCGAAGGGAATTCAGGAAGACTAAGAAAAAGATGATAATAATGATGATATGATGATATTTACAGGCATACATATGAATATGAAGGCATATATATGAATAATATAAGAAGCATCCAAGTCAGATCGCTGCTTCAAGCATTCAAAAATGTCGTATTGAAAAGTCACGCTTTACGTAACTTAGTATGCCGCCAAAGCTCCTTAATTGCTACGCGTTGTTTTGGTTTGGTTTGCGGCTAAATTGAATCAATTGATCACATATGAGAGCCGTTATATGGCGCGTCAATTACTTAGATTATTGTTGACATATTAACGATTAGTGAGATCTATCCTAATCCTTTTGCTTTTTTGACCTTATGTATACATATTTATTTATTTATAGCCATAGATATTTTGCAATTGCATATTACTCTCATAATAATAAATTTCAGGTTCGTCGTAGTTTGGAAACCTTATCGATGTTAATCCATGACCGTGGTTCAACGTTTGATAGTCATCATCACTATGTAAATCGCGATGATAGTAATTGAATATATATATATATAATTATGTTAATTCATAATATCTTCTATTGTATTATATTTCATTTGTACTTTTATTTGTTTTTAACAAACTATATGAAATTATTAAGCTATAACTTATTTAAAAAAAAAAAAAACAAAAAAATGCAGGAAAGAATAATAAAAAAATACATAGCTCGCACCTCTATACCTAATTATTAGAAAAAGAAAATTAAACAATTGTTGTTTCCTTCCATTGTCACAAAGATATATAAGAAAAACACACAGTCACAGTCACAGTCACAGTTACATAGATGTTTTTTAGCAATAATTTGGAAAGTTTCTAATATATTCAAGAAATTTCATTAAAATTAAAGTAAGGAGAAGAAGAAAAATTAATATAAAAAGTGTGTAAAAAGTGTGTAACATTGATCTTTAAAATTCCAAAGGGTAAGTATGTTTTAATGTTTAAAAATGTGTTATTTAGTTTTTAAAACCATTAATATTTTTTATTGTTGTTCTTTGTTATATTACTGTTAACAAATACATTTTTAACATAATTTTATAGGTTAGGTACGGTTTTAGGTGATAAAACATCATCTGTATTGACAGTCTTGTGTGTGTTCTAAATGTGTTCTTAGAACTGCCGCAACTTGCTAAGGCGCTTTGTTGGACAAATATGTGAAATATTATTTAGCGTAATATGAGTGTCTGTCACCGGACCGGTATGGTATTTATATTATTTAAAACGTGCACATACCTATATATTTTTCAACTTCTTATCTGAGTACAAATTTTCTAAAAGCCAATATATATTAATTAAAACATATATGCTTTTCGAGCAAGTACACGAACATCAATTCTGTAAGGCGCACAAAAGTCGAAAAAAGCTTACATAGCTCCTTTCTCTTTAGCCAGGGAAAATCGATGAAGGGAATGTAGATGAAGCAAGTAAAATTGCTATGGTCGGGCAAGACCGGCTATGATATACCGTATATTACTTCGCCTAATATTGTCGTTAATTCATTTTCTCTCAATAATACGCAAAAATTTGTACATTGTTTTTGTGGAAGGCCTCATATTTATACCTAACGTTATAAAGATACCGTTTTAGGAGGAAAGGTTATATGACAAGCGGTTCGAAAACTTGCATCATCTTATCGAAAATTTTCATACGAATGTTTAATGCCGAAATAATGAGTTGTATAAAAAATCTTTGCGATTTTTTTCGCCTGCTGCTTCCAAATGATTCCAAATTGGCATGTGAACAATGTTTATTGCTTTCACTATTCCTGACAACTTCCATACCGGTCTTGCTTCACCAGTTGCAAAATTTCATCGACTTTTTCGATGAGAGCGAAGTGCATCTTTGACATCGAAATATCTGGAACGAAACCGAGCAAACCATACCTAGGTCCTTTGTTCACTCACAGCATTCTCAACGTATAATTCAAAAATTTTTCGGCATGTTTTATCCTTTTTATAATAAAAAAGCATCACATAACATATTTTTCATCCATTTTCAAATCAATGTAAATGTTTTTATATAAGTAAAGAATTCCAACACTATCTGCACAAAAAATGTAACCTAAAATGTCACCTTTTAAGCACATGTTCATTTGGGACACTCAGGTGAGTGTTGCCCAAAATATATAGGCATTAAAATCATCCCGCGGAGAAAACCGCAAATACTTTTTATATAACCTAATACTATTACTATGCGACTTTGGTTTACCGTTCGATCGAAAACGTGTCAGTCTACTAGATTTCATCAAAATATCGCAGAAATTGCATTCTGCAGGTTGAACACAAGACGCATGAATGGACAAGACATCTTCAGATCAATGCAGAAAATCGAATAAAACATTGGTCTATCTCATGTCTTGGATGTTGTACATATTCACACGAAACTTGATATACCCTGATATATCACAAAAAATGCAAGCCGTAAACAATAACAAAATAATGTATTTTACTACAATATTTTATATATATAAATATAATTTAGTTTATTGGTTTGACTTTCATTAAGATGTTTACAAACTCATCCAATAATTTGAAAAATATAAAAATTTATTGGTCTTAATTATGACCAATATCAGAATTAGGACGCAAGTATTATTATCTTTTGGAATACTTGAAAGCAGTTATTTTTGCCTCCTATCCAGCGTTTTTTTAAAAACTCACTAGATGATGTGGCGTAATAGGATCAAAAGCCATTCGTTCTGGATTTCTAATCACAATCACAATCATATTTAGATAATTTTTTTAAAATATAGTTAACAATTTTTTTTAAAAAAAATGAAACTTTTTTTTGCTAATGGGTACAGCCGCTAAGTATGTGCTTGCTTAACAGTCGTCGGCATCTGACTCTAGAAAGCTATCTTAATTTTATCCAATCTTCAAGCATGTTCAAATCGACGATACCACTAAATATGTACAACTATATATATATATATATATATATATATATTTTCGTTCGATATGAGATTCTGGATCATTGCAATCGCCTACAAGTGCTTGCATTATTAATAAGAAACAATAGTAATCTTAAAATTTCGAATATGATGATCAGAAATCAAAATAAACATTTTCTAAGAACATATAAGGACTAAGGGAAAGTTCCGTTTCGTTTTTGAAAAAAACCCAAAAACAAATCACCAGTCATACCACTATCTTCTCAATATGGCCCGAAACGGTTTTCGGAGACGAATTAACCCTTTCTGCGATCTTCGATATTGTCAGTAAAGAATCTTGCTCGTCGATCAAAGATGGTCGTCCAGAACGTGGACGTTATCAGAAAGCTCGAAATCACCTGTTTCACCTTTTTTGAACCATTTTCTGCATATCGTATCTGAAACTGTACCGTCAATAAGCCTCTACGCGCATTTCTTCCTTGTTGAACTTGATATAATGAACTTAGTCAGTAGCCTTGGGTACACTATCGCCGCCTCACACTTAAGACTAACGTGAACTGACTTTGTTTTAATTACTTTGCAGTATTTGTACGCGACAATAATAGAGAGCCGAACATGCGGGAAATAAATATGTCCTTACGTGTCGAAAATTGTTGCTATAGAAACGGACAGAACTTTTCGGGTAATTCTCAATATAATAGACAATCGATTACGAATTTCCTGTCATTTTTTTTACGGCTTATCCAAAACAAACCATTAAGATCTTAATTGATTTGCAAATTAAATGAAAGCGTCAGGGGAAACCGGGGAAGAGCGGCCATGCTAATTATTAATAAAAAAATAAATAGGAACATAGTAGTCGGGCAAGGCCGACCATTAAACACCCTATACCACACTGTCTAACACAATTCTTTATTTAATTATAGAACAAAAAAATTATATCTTCTTTCTATATAAAGGCATATTTTCCATGTGCGTATTTATGGGCGTATTTATGGGCCCAAAACGCAAACTAATCAAGTACAAGATTAATCACGATCCAAAAATAAGCGCAGATGGGGCAGACAGGAAAAATACATTTCTAAGTTTATTTTATTCCACTAGGAATTGCGTGTTTTCCCTCGCAAATTCTAGACTTAGCTTCCTATTACGTTCTTCTACCACCGGCTTACGGCGAGTATGACAATGATCATGTTATAGTTTTGCATGCATTGGGCCAATACAGTCGGAAAGTTGATGTTTATGAGTGGCATTGTAAACACGGAGGGTTTTTAAGGACATGGATGGAATATTAGAAAAGAAACAGCGGACAAACTTGGTGTTTTGGGAACATTCAAATTCTACCAACAGGACGACCTCAAGCCTAAATACCGCTTAATTCAATGATTGCTCTTATATAACTGGCCCAAAGTGCTTCATCCTCCACCCCAATCACACCAGACATGAATGTGGAATGAAAACATTCAATCCCTTTCGTCCAAGACCTGGAAAATAGACTATAAGAGGAATGAAGTAAAATCCCTGGACAAGTTTCCTATGCAAGCAAAGGTATACAAGATATGTCAAAACGTTCAAATGACGATATTAAGCAAAAAGAATTCCCCTCCAAATATTAATTTTTCATAATAAGCTGTTTTTTTTTCCCTCGTATCCTTCCTTATATGAAAAAAACCCATATTTTAAAACTTGTGTGAAGTTTTTTAATTTTCTTGTCTACTGGAATATAGTTTGGTTTATCGTTTCTTTATACATTTTGATATGTGTTCGCTAGTGATACAAAATAGTAAAAAAAAAAAAATTATGTTTGGATAACGGACTAGGTTTAACAAGCGTTTAATTTTTGTCGAACAAAAAACCCCAATATTAGTTCTGCTATTAAAGAATTCAAAATTTCACGGGTCACCACCAAATGCTCCAATAAATTTCAGTAAAAATATTCTACGAAGAAGAAATTCAATGAAGAAATTTTTTATAACTAAGCAAATCTATTTTGTAGGAATAATTTATCCCAATTTTCGTTTTTTTTTTTTTTAATTTTCTCGTTAGTCTATAATTATTATAATAATATGTAATTTATGTAGTTTTTATATACATATTAAATTTATTTGCCTGCCCATATATTTGACGTATTTTTGAAATTTTCCACAACACACATGGGTTATTATACAAGAGCTCATATACGGAAGATTGTGTGCGTGCGTGTGTGTGTGTGTGTGTGAATATTACAAATGTTCCTCATGCTATGCGGCTCTCTACTAAGCTTAATACTTTCTTAGAACAAATTGAGACGTAAGGGCAGAAAGAAAAACTATTGATAATAAGTTATTTACAGTTTTAGAGCAATATCCTTAAAGTAATTTATAGCTATCGGCTTAATGCTTAAAGCTTGGAAGATAATGTATTTCAGTAGGAAATCGCGGATGCGCACAAAATCGTTTACGATGAAGAACTTGTTACTTCGGAGTAAAAAAAGCCGCAAAAGCCTAGCGTACCTCGAGGCGAGCACTTAGGACTGCGTTTATTTAATCTATACATTGATGACCTTCCCTCGGCGATTAAGTGCAGTCATAATTTAACATACGCTGATGATATTAAACGGTTTTCTTCCTTCTCCTTGAAATCGCAAACGTATCAATTAATTTGCTTTGTTTCTAAAGGAGGCAGTCATTCAATAGTATTTAGTATTTCATCGACTCGCATACCTTTGAACACTTAGACCAAAGATTACCTTTTTTTTGTTTTGCATACTGAGCTCTCTTTAGATAAAGCTAGCTCCACGCTAGGTTTCATTAAGAGGTGGTCCAAAAAGCTTAAGTTTCCATACGTTACAAAAGGGCTATATACACGTTCTTAGTTACACCAATACTTGAGTATGCCTCTGTTGTGTGGTCTCCTTCGTATAGTTATTATGTAGATTCAATTGAATCCGTTCGAAAGTAGTACTTCGTGTTCAGCCTTAGGATTTTGGTTTAGAACCTGTTTGCCTCTCTGTCTCTTTATGAAAATAGATTATTTCTGTTATCCTTACCATCACTTGAGAAACGTCAATTTATTCTTGGTGTTTCCTTCGACTATGCTTAATGCGCGCCATTTGCCTATGTCGTATTAAAACTAACTTGCAATCTTAATATCTCATTATGATTCGAAAATTCACGTGCAACTTTCGATTTGTACCGATTGCGGATGTGCCTCTGTGCTAGCTATGCACATGCTTTTTTCCTTTGTTTTATGAATTACAATTTTTTTTTTGTTGTTTTTAGTTCTCCTTTTTATTCGTTTTTAATATTAATTAATAGAAGATTTACATCCCAAAAGTTAATTGAATTCGTCTGTTAATTTACTTTAGCTGAATTTCATATGTAAGTAAATGAATAAATAAATAAATAAATTCAATTTAATTCTCTATTATCGGTCGTGCAATAAATATATATTATTCGAAATATATTTTGTGCTGCATATAAAATGGCCAAAAATGTGATTGATCGATTGGTCGGTTATCAATGATTCAAAATTCATGAAATCCTTAAAATGAAGTAAATTTAAAGTTGGATTATGTTGAATCTATACACACAATAGACTTTAATTAATTAAATGATTCTCTACATAAATTCATATTTTCATTGTTTAAGTCAAATATTGTCGCTTAATATCGCTGACGTGCCTTCATAGAGTTCAACTTTGCTTGAATCAATTCTTGTCCACTCTTTGTTATTGGATATTATACCGTTCCACAATCACTTATTTCCATCTACTACGTAAATCTCGTTTGAGATCGTCAGCACGGTATTTTTTATTGTTGATGCGCGATTATCACTTATATATTGCATTTTCTAATATCGATACGCGATTATCATTTTTTTTTAATATAAATCTGGTTGTAATCAAAGATAAATTATGCTAATAATAAAACATATATTTAGCACGCAACACTTTATGGGGATGTAGCTCAGTGGTAGAGCGCTCGCTTCGCATGTGAGAAGTCCCGGGTTCAAACCCCGGCATCTCCATTAGTGTCAAAAGTTCTGTTTCTTTTTTTTTGACCTTGTTTTTATTTCTCTTATATGTTCTATATGTTCTCTTCCTAAGTATTTCAAAGTGAAATCCAAAAGATATTTATGTTAGTCCGAATTCTTTACGTGGTTCAAAAAGTCAGTTGTTCAATAAACTATACAAAACAACTTAAAATTATTACTTGTGTGCTTCATGGTAACAATATCTGATGAAGCGAATAGATTTTTTAAAAATAAATCATTTCAAGAAATACTACGCACTTTATTAAAAATTGATTAATATATCAATTATTTCAATTTTGTCTTTTAAATAGAAAATTACGACTTGTAAAAAAATCGCTAAGATGGCAACATTAAAAAATAATTTTATTATGCGATCGATTGTGTCGTCTTTTCATTGTTAAAAAATTATTGAAAAAAAAAAAAAAACACAAACACCTTAACAAAATGTACTTCCAATTTACACAGTGGATAAATACGAGAAAATGATTCATAAGCTTGCGCCCACAGAGACAAGCATTCATTTACCCTTCATCCAAGCTCATATAAAATTACTGACTCCTTTCGTTTTGTTACTTTTAGTATATTCGTTTATAATTTAATTATTCGCTTCTGAGTGAAACACAGTTTGAGTTTATTGACTAGGATGCAAAATGTATTCTCTCTATATATATATTTTTTACTTTAAAAAATAAAAGCGGTTCAACTATATTCATAATTTTTTTTTTTTTTTTTTTTTTTTTTTTTTTTTTTGTGAAATAGAAAATTCCATTCTAAGCATAAATGTAAAAAATTGTATAGAAAATGTCATTACTTCTTAAACACCAAAGAAAATAGTGGATGATAAAAATTTGTAAAGAAGTTTTTAAAAAGCTTCTGTTAAGTAAGAATTTTATCTAAACATAATTGATAGATAGATAGTTAAGTAGAATGAGTTTTATATATACTGAGGGCTTTTTATTTTTAAGCATATATTGAATTGCGTTTAAAAGCTTAGGATTAAATACATGATTTCTTTTTACTTCACTAATGACCATTTTTTTGTTTTTCTTTTTTTTTTTTTTTTGTATGTTTTTTTGCAGTGTTAAAACGATCGAAAAAACGTTAGAGACAATTGATTTGATATTGGTTTTAAGTTAAGCAAAGTAACGCAAACAGTTTTATAAAATAGTTTTATGTCCTATTGTTTTTGCTGTTATTTTACGTTTTCTAATTTATTTATTAAAAAGGAATTTTGTTGAATTTTTCGTAGCAGCAATAGGTTTTCGCTATATATATATATATGCGTGGTTGTATGTAGATAAACGATTTTTTGGATGCTAGCGAACAGATCAATGAGAAAGAGAGAGAAAGAGAAAGAGAGAAAGAGAAAGAGAGAGAGAGAGAGAGAAAGAAAAATAAATATATTCATAACCAAGCAGCCATAGTATTTCGTTTCCTTTTGTAAGCACGATCTTGAGTCCATTCAAACGTCTCCGTCCATCATCTCTTCATCTGTTTTTAATTCAAAGCAAAACATTAACTGCGACCAAAAACTTAAATTATGTGCATGAATTATGGAATCAATTTAACAGAACTAATTGAATTGTTCATTACTTCAGTCAGCTTCAGCATTTCAACAATAATGAAAAGATTAAAACTACTTGAAGAAATATTTTGTTTTACTTTTACTTCGACCATACAATAACCAATATCGATTTCTAACTTCTTGCTGAATAGAATATCTCGTTTCAATGCATATAGTCATCTATAACTGACATAATTTCTGTGGCCTAACGGATTCTTGCATGCATAACACCCGAGAAAAATCAATTATGTAAAAAAAAAAAAAAACCCATGGACAAACATTAAACGGAGAGACGGACAGACAACTGGTGCGCATCGCTTTAGAAAATGATTCTGCATTGATCGATATAATGAAATATGGCTATCTTGAGTCCTTCTAAATGTTGCACACATCGGGACAAACTTAATATACCCTGTATTAAAAGTACAGAGCGGGTGGGTGGGGTGGGGTATAAAAATATGCTTCACATAGTTATATATAGTGATTTGCTTCAACTTTTCGACTTGTTGTACTATCGTTCGTTGTAAATGACTCCTATACTATATCTGTTTTGAAACATTTCCTGAGTCCGTGTATTCAAAACGTGTCAAATCGCAAGCGATCCAAGAACCGTTTTATAAATACAAATAAATTGTTGGTATCTCTTTATATTGCTGTTAAATAATTTATTAAAAAAGATCTGGCATTAAATTATTCGACGCCTAAGAAATAAGAAAATTTCATTTAGTTTTACGTATAAACACGAATCGATTTTATTGATTGATGTGCTTTTCAGCGCACTTATGTAGTTAGATACGTGTAATCGTGCTCGTGCCAAAATGCCTCTAAAGATAAAATTGAATTCTAAAAAGTATGCAAATTTCATTTATCAAAGGAAGTGTGACCATCCCACTTGATGTATTCATAAATTGAAGGATCAAAACACGCTAATATTGATATTCCGCTGATCAAGTGCGCTATAGGACAAATCGTATATTATTGAAGGAGAGGGAGGGGAGAACGAGAGAGAGAGATAGGGAGAGAGAGAGAGAGAGAGAGAAAGAGAGAGAGAGGGAGAGAGAAAAGTAAAAAAATCGTAAGTCTATTTGGCCACATCTGCTCATCGCATGTCTCCACATACATTCTTGAATCAATTTGAGGGATTAAATGAAAATCATTGTGTTCAGGCTCACTCACATTAGCTAACAAAACGGGAAAAAGCAAGTGATTACATACGTTCGCACAATGTTAACTATTATTCAATGTATTTAAGGTAATTAGAATGTTATTAAAGAAAATCAGATCATTTTCTTTTCTTTTAATTCATCTAAACTAGAAATTGATTCTTCGTTAATGTACGCTTATATAAATACATGTATTTATTTATATAATTTCCTAGGTAAAAAAAAAAAAAAATCGTATATATATATATATATATATATATATATATATATATGTATAATTGGGGCTTATTGTTGCTATTATCATATCATTATCAATATTGATGAGTGATTCTTTGCTACAGCAGTAATTATAATAATTTTGTATGCGTTATTTGTATATATCATTACTAAGTTCATTCTTTCCTTTTTTCTTTTTTTTTTTTTTTTTTTTTTTTGCTTTTGTGTATACGTGTGATAGTGTATTATGTATGTAGTTGCATATAATCAAAAATTGTAAAAAGTGTTATTAGAGAAGCGGTTGCCATAGTTGGTGTTTTCTTGCTAACAAAATTTCAAATCATATTTTGGTCTTCGAAATAATATTTGGGAGAATTGGTTTGTCTTCTTAAATTCATATAGGTTTTGTTCTTCTGCTTCATCATTCATTATCTTTTATTTTTCGTTTTTAAAGATAATTGAAAAATTGTGAAAAAGTTTCTTTTTTCTTTTTTCGTTTTCTTTTTTTTTTTTTTTTTTTTTTCTTTTAATTATTACCTTAACTAATCATTTCGCGGTATTTGAGTTTGTGTTTTGTTAACATATCGGTGACGGTAACTAATTTCTTAATTGAGAGTATATTGGACAATTCCTGCAATTCGGGCTGATAAGAAACACATATATGATGCAAAGTTGCCAATTCGCGACCTAAGAGAACCAAAAAAACAAATCCAATAAATGTCTTATAACTGTTCTATGAATGAAATTTATGAAACTGCACCTGTATCCTGACCATTTTGATTTGAGTTTTGTTCCGCGTACATGCCTGGTGGCGCGTTAGGATCAGTAACCATTGACAATTGATCCAAAAACACAATCATGCGTTCCTTATTTTTTAATATAAAGGGATTAACGACTTCCATATATTGCTCCTGGAATTTAGTTAATGATAATAGGAATAAATATTTATTAACGAGATATAAATGATAAAATTCTTTCTACCTTGCCACCGAACTCTATTAAATTAGCGAGGTTCTGTAAACACTTTGCCACCATTATTAATGAACGCGTAGCGGGCGTGGGCGGTGTTTCTCCGACCAAACCGAATTGACGTGGATTCAATAAGGCCGGGCAAAGTAAACGTAAAAATATAAACCCCGAAACTACACGTGTGCGCACTAGACGTTCGGTGGGCCATTTGGCTACAACAGCCTTTTGCAAGCAATTGCATATGTAACGCACTGAACGAGGGCATGCTTCTGGCGAGGTAAATATCGAATGCGTTACCAAATCGAGTATTTGCAATAGGAACTCAGCATTCGAACAGGCATCGTCGTTGACATCCATTTTTGTCGGATTCAATTCGGCGGACTGCTTGCTCTCTAAAATGCGTTGTATAGTCTCCGAAACGGCCGATTGTAGAAAACCCGTACATTCGGTGCGCATATACAAATCCATTAGGGTGGTAGCCAGAGAAGCTCCGCGGAATAAAGTGGTAGTTTCATTTTCGCGGGCTATTTCAGCTTGACAGAGGACGCGTATCAATTCCGTTTCACGTTTTTCATGGCGGAATACACGCAATAAAGCGGTGGCCAGAGGGACACGATCATTATGACATAGTTCCGCTAAGGCTTTGACGGCATACAATTCTGGCTCTAATAACAGTTGCTGCAGAGGGCTATACTCCTCGCAGGGCATAATTAAATCATCTAAATAACGCATACGCAAACGTAGAGAGCCCCATTCACCCATCGGTGTCATTCCAGTTAATTGATACCATTCCTCAGTCTCTTGGCCATTCTTTAGACTTGCCAAGTCGATGGTTAACTCAGCTACCTCACTATCTTTTCCACGTTTACCACGAGAAATCAAAGTAATTGTCAAAGAAACTACATCCGGAGGAACGTCACTACAAATAAAAAAAAAAATAAAAAAAATAAAAAAATAAAAAAACATGAAACCCTCTTCTAAAGTTTGTTCGAAAATCAAACCTATTACTTTTTAATACTTACTCCAAAACAAACTCCTCTTCCCATACTGGATCTGGAGCTATTTTCACTTTGGTTTTGCCCACTTTCACTTGGTTTAAAGAAATACTACAATAGGGATGTGGCACCAATTTAAATGGCAGTCTATGGGCCTCCAATATATGCAGGTTTAGACAACGCAATTCTCTTAAACGTGGCACTTTCTTTTGTGCTTTACTTAATTGTGAACCGCACTGAGCTTTTAGAGCATTAATCCATTCAACATAGCTCTCTTGACTAGGAGCACACAAGTAGGTAACAGTGGCCAAACAAGGTAAAGCTCTTTCCACAATTTGAAAACAAAAAGGCCGCTCCCACAGAGAATCATGGCACTGATAGAGATAAGCACACGACAAATCGATTAGACCCTTAGGCTTAGTCTTTTTGGGATTATCATAGAAGCAAAGATGTGTCTCGGAACCTTCACTTATTAATGCGAAATATAATTGCTTCCATTTGGCAGTTTTATCGGACTTCTTATTTAATTGGCCGTGATGTTTAATACCTTTTATTTTTTTTAAACCAATTTGATCACGGCATTCACGTAAAGTAGCGTATATTTTCTCGGCAGCTTTTTCTACTACATACTGTTGATTGAATTCGGGTTGAGAACCATTCACCACCTAAGTCGAAAAATGAAACAAAATTAAACTATAGAAGAGCTTGAGCTTTTTAAGGCAACATAACAACAACAATAACTACCGGATGACTCAAGCAATGGCCCTCAACAATTTGCTCTTTCCGGTATCGATTTATAACTGCATCCAAACATTCAAAGGTACGACCACCCATTAGATAACGTACCCCTTTCTTTTCAATACGAAAACGCTGTATTTGATTATTTATATGAAAAAATAGCGAATAGTCACCGGGAGAGTTATCACTAGGGCGTACAAGGAAACTGCCAGGGCCAGCTATTAATTGGGAGAGAGAGAGAGAGAGAGAGAGAGAGAGAGAGAGAGAGAGCGATTCAATTTTATTCAATAAAAAAATTCTTGTGACTTACCCTTTACTAACATATCGACTGCTTCATTTTTTGTGCAATTTGGATGAAACCATGGAAAAACGGTATTCGGATCTATAGCCGGATCTAAATCATCTACTAATTCACGAAATATCATTCCCTGTTCACCGGTCCGATGGGCCGTCACCCACAGCCAACCGTCACCCATATCGTTGTGTACGAAGAAAATGTCACCTTTTTGAAAACTTAGCTCATCGGTATCCGGCATCTTGGTATATGGCAAAATGGCCACTACCCGCTTTTTATCGTTTACCGGTTCAGGGGGCGCAACTGGAATAACCAGACGTTCACGTTTCAGTAAATCACTGCATGAGGTATAATAACCGACCAAATCACTAAGTGAAATAAATTGACGACCTCCAATATAATAATCACCACAAACGGCAGTAATGCTACATATATTTAAAAAAAAAAAAAAAAAAAACTCATTTTAAAAATCAAATATTTGAAGCAAGAAGAATGAATGAATGAATGAATATGTTTGTACAACTTACCGAAAGTGATTAATACCCGTTCGTCCCAAATAGCTGAGTACATATGAACCGGGCTTACGATCGCTTTCTCGCACTAAATTAATTAATTAAAGGAAACCACAGAGCGTTTCAATAATGCACGAAAAGTATAAATATAAAAATCATTCATTCTTACCTAAATAACTGCCCAATTTACCGCTACCGCGTAACCGTGATTCGGCAGAATAACGATCCAAACGCCCGTGATACCACTCACTCTCTGGCGGCGCTATAATAGCGGGTCGTTCGCCTAAATAACGCAACAATAGTAGCAGTAATAAAATCATACGTTTGTACAGCCATTGGCATAATGCATTCCGTCGATAATAGTGAAAAAATTGTTGTTGAGTATTGCAGAAAAACCAAAGCAACAGCAGTAATAAGAGAAGGGAAGCAATTATTATTGTGGTGATTAAAACTATTATAAATAATTTGAAATAATAATTAATAATAATAGTAATAATAATAATAATAATAATAATAATAATAATAACATATTTTCATTGTGAAAAAAAAAAAGAAAAAAAACAAAAACAAAAAAAGGTGATTGAAAAGATAGTATGTGATAGTATGTCGCGATTAAATGATCCACATAAGAAAAATAGCTGATCGTAGCACAATGGCGAGGGCAATAGTGCATCCGAAATATTTCATGTGAAACTTTTCAAAATTCAAATGAATAGAAGAGAAAATTATATTTTTATACATTTGCCGTGAACCGAACTATTTCGCTGCTTTTCGCTACTTTTTTAATTTTTCTTTTTCTTCTTCTTCTTCTTCTTTTTTTTCAAGTATTTTTATTTTTATATTTTATGAATGCATTTTAAAACTAGCTGAAAGTAAACTGTCTGTTTCGTAAAATATAACAAACATTTCAACATATCATATCATAGAATACTCACACACTTACACACTAAAAATATACAATATATCCGCCGACGAAAAGATTATTTTTTTTGTATACAAGGATTAGTTAATAATTTGAGATTCTTTAAAATCGTGGATGAACGTGTGTCTCGGCAATGACGGGAAATGTAAATGTATGTAAATGCTGAATAAGTCTTTATAAGGGACCAATTACTCTAGACTTAGGTTTTTCAAATTTAAATAGCAGAGTAAGTTCTTTTCATTGCAAACTATGTCCCATAGAAGCATACATTTACTGAGATTTTTCATGTATTACATCGCGATCTCCCTTAGTAGGGAACCACGGTCAGCCATGAAAAAGTAAAATATTTCGTATATTTCTTACGGTATTTATTATGGAGAAAAATCAAGCGAAGAATGGAATTTTCGAATGTTTAAAGAATAGACTGTTTGCCGAGCTCGGGTCGATTTATGGGTTCTCCTGATCCGAGGTATCGTAGTACGTTACGAAGCATAAAAACGCTTGCTGATCGCTTGTTGAGCTGTTGACAGCACTCGATTGCATATTCGTGATACCATCACTGCATATATAACGAATTTAATGCGGAGAAGGAGAAGGAAGTTTACTAAACTGCCATTGTTTATTTAAATTATATAATTCTCTTCTTCTTAATGATTAACTTGATATTTATCATTTATAGATTAAATTTGCCTGCCTCAAGCAGACCCTGTCATCCTATATTTTCACTCTTTGTCATCGTTACAAATTTTTCTTATATAATTCCATATTCCCCCTTCGTTCTCCATCTCTTTTCATATTTCATACGATTAACGGGTAAAAACCTCGCATTCATGTCCATCAATTTTATCAATCATCTAAAGAAATAAGCTATGCGATGCTTTTTTACTATATGAAAAAATTAAAATCGCTGGAAGGAAAAAAAATTTGTGAAATTTACGCTGACAATGCTGTGAGTGAACGAAGGATCCAGGAGTGCTTTACTCGATTTCGTTTCGGAAATTCCGATGTCAAAGGTGCATCTCGCTCTGGTCGAAGAAATCAATGAAATTTTGATGGGAATTGTTGGAGCTCTCAGGAAATAGTGTAGACACGAAACACATGAAGTACTAGACAGTTTGAAACTGCACTTGACAAGAGAGGCTACAAAAAGAAGCAATATGACGGCAATATGACCTAATATATGCTTGCGTTGAGAACATGAAGTTCGTTAGCTATTTTGCTTTCGAAGTGAAATGTAACATTTTACCTTTTGGTATTGACCTTTGGAATATCATTAACACAGTACTCGTCGTTAAAAGTTACTCGCCAACGGAAATCGTCAATGCTAACCGCAAATTTGTTAACGAGCTATAGCTCGGTAATAAAGTTTTTCGACTTATTAATCCATTATTGTCCGATTTACTCGGCATACACTGTAACCAAATGCTTAAATCATTCCATTACATACAGTAAGGAATCATTCAATTCTATGTAATAAAGAAAACAAATACAAATATTATAAACGGACAAGTCCGACCATTCAAGTACCTACGCCTAATAGATTTTTTTTTTTTTGCGAGAAATTTCGCTTCCTTTCTACTAACTGAGGCATACGATATATTTTAAGTAATAGATAAAAAACAAAAAAATATTATAAAAAAAATAATGCCAATGAGAGAAAATTAAATAATAAATTATAGACTTTTTTTCTTTCCTTTTAAAGATTTGACGAGAAATTAAAAGCAATTAGGAAATAAATGAATATTA